GTCTTTAATTCTCCCAATAGCGGAGACAATTCCTGATGCATCAATGCTGAAGTTGTATTCTTATAATCGAGGAGCTTCGGCGGAATCGGAGTGCATGTCGAACCCGCTTTTGCTCATGAGTTCCCGAGAGCTTTGACCTCGATCACTTCTCCGATCAATCCGAGGTGAGTTGCGGCTCCAGCCGTTGTTCCTTCGATCGGCATATGGCTGATACCGTTCTTTATTGAATCTCGATTCTCGGTTTGTGCCCCTAGGGGGCTTGGCTGTGAATTTGCTAGGATACACTGAGCCCGAGGGGCTACCAACTAATCTTCCTCGACCCTGATCTTTGATTGATAACGATTGTGCACATCCGACCACGTCACAACTGGATATTCAATCAAGTTCTGCTTCAACTGCTGAGAGGCGATTGAACTCCTTTCATTCAGACCTTGCATGAAGGTATGTGCTACCCAGTCATCGAAGACCGGAGGAAATTCCATTCTTTCCATCTGAAATCGGGACACGAACTCCCTTAATATCTCGTCGTTCCTTTGCTTAATTTTGAAGACGTCTGATTTCCTCGTGGCCACCTTTATGGCCCCAGCGTGGGCTTTAATGAAGGCTTATGCTAACATGGCAAATGAATCAATAGAGTTAGGGGCTAAGTTGTGGTACCAAATCATCTCTCCTTTTGAGAGTGTTTCCCTGAACTTTTTCAACAGCACTGACTCGATTTCGTCATCATTCAAATCATTCCCTTTGATTCCACAAGTGTACGAGGTGATATGCTCGTTGGGGTCGGTTGTTCTGTTATACTTGGTATATCGGGCATGCGAAATTTCTTTGGGATGGGCATCGGAGCTGCGCTCTGAGGGAACGGTTTTTCTTCTTGGCATCTAGACCTTTCAAAACAGGAGATGCCCCCGGTATCTGGTCTACACGGGAGTTATAAGTCTCCACCTTCTTATCATTGTCTTCAATTTTCTTTTCTCCGGACTAGATCCTCTTGGTGAGCTCTTCGATCATTTCATAATTGTGGGGTCAGTCCCCGAGCCGTTTTCATTAGACCTTTCTGGTGTCGGCTCAGCACACCGATTGTTTTCATGTTCATCTACGCTCGGGGTTTTTTTTTGACTTTGGAGTTGAGCGACGGCGTTTTGTTGAGCCTGCAGCATCTCGGATATTACTTGGAGACTGACCATCCCATCTCCTACTCCTGGTGTTCCTTGGTCCCCTGGTCGGGCTTCCCTGCGTGCATTCCCTACGGGGTCTATGCCTGCATCCGTGTTTAGAGCGTTATGCGATTGATATCAACTGGCTCCCTATTTGGCACTCCCTCAGGGTTCATGGGTAATACACCGATCCCTATACCGCTATTTTCTCCAAGACCCTCACTGTCATGAGCAGGTGCGTTTTGCGTGCTAGACATGTTCAAGCCTGAGAATCAAAAAATCTTGACAAGAAAAAGTGTAAAGATAATGTGTGTAACGAGAATCAGTAAAGAAATAATCACTATTATCTTTATCCTCACGGTGGGCGCCAAACTGTTTACCTCGAAAATACGAGTAACAATTAAACTTGATTTGTGATTTTAAAGATACGTGATTTAGTTCAATACCGATTAATAATCAAGAAATATGAAGTAAAAATGAAAGATAAAAGTGAATCAAACCAATGTTAGTTAGCAGCAGTGACCTCGAGAAGGTGACCTCAAGGTGGCTTAGGGCAATAAGAAAAATAAAATAAGAAGATCAAAGTAAGAACAATTAAGCTAAGGGACAATTCTGATGAACAGCAGGCAAAAAACAGAGAGTATATTCTTTGCGCAGTAAAAAGATGATCTTACAAATGATTGGGGTCCCCCTTATATAGTGGGGGAACCCTTAAACAAGGAATATTTTCATTTAAAGTAGGGAATATTCTTGGTACAACTGTCTAACCATCTAGTACGGAATTGTACAACCTCATTCTGTGATTTACGCCATGACTCAGGGGACGTGGCAGGAATCTAGCTTGCTTTAGTACAAATCCATAACGGTACTATTTCGGGGTCGAACACACCCGGCCTCGGTATACATCCTGCTTCTCCTTCGAACTCGGATCTGGTCTTTCGAGCTCGAACCTGGCCTTACCAGACTCGGACTTCGGACGACCTCCCAAGTGTATAGATCGAAGGCATTCGATCTCGACCGTATACAATACAAATCAAAATTTCAGATTAATAAAATTATCTCAAAAGAATTACGACAATTGTTTTAACAATTATTCAGCTGAGAACCAAAACACAATGGAAGCAATTGAGTAATATCGATCATACACTTACATTACATTCGGGAATTATTATGAATCTTTTTAGTTAGGTTAAAAATCTGTATGTCAATGTAACGGTGAACATGAGTTTTAGAGAACCTTTGCGTTTAGAGATTCTTATAAGATAAATTATTTATAACCATCAGTATGACATTGATTCCAACTATAGAGAATTCATATAGTCAATTTCAATTTGTTTGTATACGATTAATGATAAAGTTCAATATTTGAAAGAATATAAATAGTTCTCAAACTATACAGGCTTTAAGATAGTAACATTGATTAACTAAAAGATGCAGTGATGAACTAACGGGGTGAGAATTCTATAACCATCATAAGTTATAAATCCAGAAAATAGTAGTTTGATAGGCGGTTGATCAAGTGCAATTTCATATTTTTTTCAAATTTAATTAATTATAGAGAAAACAAAATGGACTAAATTAATTACAACGTAAATTTGGTGTAGTTTGTGTAAATGAAAGCAATTGAATACCTTACTATTTCATCAGGAAATACACCCAGAAAAGAGGTGACCATCTGGGTCTAATGGGATCCACCACTGACGGGTCAATACAAGCTCAACACGAACGGGACTACACTAGGGAACCCTGGAAAGGGTGGCATGGGGTGTGTGTTAAGATCCTCCAGTGGTGACTGGGTTCTGGGCTTCATGAGAAACCCGCCACACACAACTAATACCCAAAGCTAGGAGTGGCAAACTGGCGGGTCGGGTCGGGTCGGATATGGCTCGGGTCGAAAACGTGTAATGAAAAAAATGGATCAATCATCCGGCCCGACCCATATTTAATAAAAAATGGGTTACCCATATTATCCATGACTTCTTGTATATGATCACTTTTGGGAGAATTCTTAGTTTCCCTAACTTGAGGAACTCCGAATTTGAGGTTTTACAAATGTAAAAGTTAGACTCATTGGTTATCCATTGGTTACTTATTGGTTATCCATTTTCTAAATGGATAATATGGTTCTTATCCATATTTGACCCGTTTTTAAAAAATTCATTATCCAGCCCATTTTTTAGTGGATAATATGGGTGGTTAACTGTTTTCTTTTAACCATTTTGCCACCCATACCCAAAGCCGAGCTTCTTGCACTATTACAGGGACTGCAAATCGTATAACAAAGAGGTCTAACACAATTGAAAATCAACATAGACTCAACAGAGGTAGTAAGAATGCTTAAAATAGGAAACTATGCTTATGACTCTATTATCTCTGAATGCAGGTCATTAATCCAAAGATTGAGAGGCACAATGGTGAAATACAGCTACAGGGAGAAGAACGGGGTAGCCGACCTACGGGCAAAAGGAGCAAAGAAAGATCTTTTTGGAAGAACAACAATATTGGTAGTTCATCCGTTTGCAAATGAAGCTTTTTGTGCAGACATCCTAGGAACTGTATTTTCAAGGAACATTTTGGAATGTAATACTAATACTGTGGATCAAAACTTAGGGTGTACTTTATACCCCTGTGAAGATGATGTACCTATTTTTCCTTAATTGCTAGTATATAATCATCCCTTAAACCAAAAAAATATATATAATAAATACTGGATACAATATTGTATTTTAATTGAATTTAACAGTACTCTAATAATTGATTCATGGGAATTTTTCGTTCTAACTTTTTCATAGTCCGCATTAATGCTATTTAAGGAATATGATAATTTTAGATGCATTTTAGTGAACGGGTGCACTTAATTCATTATAATAATAAAGTCACAAAATTATTTTTTGTCACACCAAGGTAATCAAACTTTTTCATTATTACAGTAAAGTCAATATTTTACTGGTCACTATAACGACAAAACTTACCCATCAAAGTGGCTTTACAATTATGTTGGGTAAAGTTTAATGACTTTACTGTTATAATGTGCAAACGTTAGTTACTTTATGTTATAAAAAATAGTCGTGTAACTTTACTACTACAACGGATAAATTTCAATGATTATACCTGAAATTAACTCTTTACTAGAACTACTAAAGAATGAATAGAATAAATAATGAAAAGATTTTAAAATGAATTCTGTTTAAAATAATCCAAAACTCAAGGAAGAGAATACATGTCTATTGATCAAAGTTTGGAGATCTTAAATTGCATGGGATCCTTAGCATTGATACATTATTTTTTTTTATCATGTAGTTCGTAAATTTTACTGAATCAAGTGATTGAACAATCGAGAGCAATTTACTTGCGATCCTTGATTGAAATTTATAACGAGCATCTAATAAATTCACTTTTTCCATTGACCTCAACAAATGATCGAATGCTTTAACTATTAAAATATAAAGAAAAATCTCTAATATTAGTAAAATAAGCTAGTCAATTTCAGGTCGTTAAAAGGTGAACTTTCCATCAACAATTTAAAAGTCTTTTGTGCGGTCTAAGGATACCAGCTTTTTGGGAGTTTTTCATACTTCTAGTCTAACTTAACTTGAAAAAACTTATTCCGTGGTCACCGGTAATAACCTTTGGTAACGACTTTTCTATTATTATTTTTTTGATAACAGTAGTGCCCGGGCCAGCCTGCGCACACCTCGACTAATTCCACGAGATACCTGCCACCTACCACCAGCAACAAGTTACTAGGTAACTCTATCCACTAAGGCTTGGATAGATGGGAAGAAATCACCTACTTATTTTTTGACCACTAGACCACACCCTTGGGTGCTGAAACTTGAGCATTTCTATACATAATAAATTTGTTTCAATTGGTCAATAGAAATGTGTGTAAAAACTTTCATAAGGTACAAAAATGTAGCTCAGTCTAGTCTGAAGAAAAGTGAGACTGAAAACTACAGTAAAAAGAATAGATTGTTACCGGTTTCCTATTTGGCGTGGTATATGCATGATATGTCACCTCACCTAAAACACTAAAACCAAAATATGACTACTTTCAAGTTTCAAGGGATAAAAGTTCACATTTTGAATTTTGCAAAGTATATCTCGTATAAAATGACCAAAGGAACACTAAGTCTAATGAATTGGACACTGAAAGGTTGATTCATTTTTCAACTGGGAACAGGGTGCAGGGAAAATACTGCAGCTAGAACCAGAGATATATTCACAGTTCCACTTCATATTTGGGGCTAGCCCGAATATACTGACGTTTTCCATGTGTATGTCCAAAAATGGTGCTTCCTCAATGCCCTCTAGCAAGGGCGGTCTCTTTGATTCCAGACTGACCACGTTACTGATACGAATACCTCTTACTCTAGGTACTGCTTTCGGATCCCATCTCTCGTCGGGGTGGTCATTTGCTCCCCTGCTAAACCTAATCGGCACTTTCACTCGTTCCATTTTCATGTTATTTATCGTAATGTTGGTAATGTATCCGCCTCTTCCTCTATCAGTTTTAATTCGCACGCCAGCTGCTGAATCTCTAACATATAAGTCTTCTATGATGACATTAGAAACACCTCCGGACATCTCACTGCCAATACCAACTCCTGAACATGTTGGAGTTGTGCCTGTCACTCTCCTTACAATGATATTTGAGCTTGGACGAGCCATTTTCATGCCGTACTGGTCCCAACCACTTTTCACTGCCACAAGGTCATCACCACTTTCGATGTAACAATCTTCGACGCACACATTCACGCTGGAGTCTGCTAACAAAACAATTATGTGAATAAAATAAAAAGTTGTTAATACTCTTAATCATACACTCTAGTTTGACATAAGTAATAAAGTAGAGTGGACACCTATGTATGCCTGAGATACAGTGGCGGAGCCACATGTAATCAAGGGGTGTCTGATACCCCTTTATATTAAAATTATAGGATATAAACTACAATATAGAATTTCAAGATCATTATTCTTTCTCCTAGTGGAAAATTTCAGGTATTACATACAGAGGATATTTTTCTGAGCCGAGGGTATATTGGAAACAACCTCTCTACCTTCACTCGGTAGGGGTAAGGTCTGCGTATACACTACCCTCCCCAGATCCTACCTGTGGGAATATACTGGGTTTGTTGTTGTTGTTGTTGTACATACAGAGGATATACCTGGGTCTATGCCATCTGTGTTAGGGGCATTCCAAGGAGCCAAAATAGTCATGTTTCTGATTACAATATTCCTGAAGCAAATGCAATGTCAAGTGTCACTTTACCAGCTAATATGCGATCATTTGGTGAATAAAAGTAGTTATCGTGAGGAAAGCTAATGAAAGGAGGAGAGAACATGTTTATTCAGCAAAGTTTTATTATTGTACTCCACATCTTTAAAGATTCTTTCTTGCCCTCAACATTCAAGACTAGCAGGAAAGACTACTTTGGCAACACTGGATCCTTTAAATATACTGGTTAATTATAGACGTCTAGTTATTTGATTGATTAACTGAATCGTAATATCAACTTATCAGAAAATATTATGCAGCAACAAATAGCAATTTCCAAGTAAAACTAATTACTTCTCCATTCATTAGCTGCCTAAAGACCGGGAACCAAACAAGTAGAGGCAAGCAGTGTCATAAAAAATAGATAGAGCAATTATCAAGAGAGCAGGGACCTGCAATAGACAGGATGAATTGTCCAAAACGGGGAGTTGAGGAATGTAAGATTATGGATCAGGATGTTCTGAGAGTTAATCAGCTCAACGAGATGGCCTCTGGTGTGGACCAGTGTTCTATTCCACCAAAGCTCCCACCACATCTTTCCCTGGCCATCTACAGTCCCATTTTCCCCTGAAATTAAGCTCAAAAATTTGAAGAGGCAGACAGAGAAGCAGTCACACTAGAAATTCATTATTATTAGTATTTGAAAGAAAATGGGGGAATTGGGGGAAAAAATTATCATCGAGATGAACTTATCAAAAGGAAAAGAAAGGAATGATCACTGAGATAAATATAACCACAAGGCATATAATATTGCAGACTCATCAGAGTCCACATTTTAAGTAGACTAAATAGAACGCTTACTTCTAAAACTATATACTATGAGCATGCTCACATATTATGATACAGGTGTAGTGGTCAAAAAGTTTAGCTACCATTTTTTATGAGGCAATAGTACTTAATATTCAATTTATATTCTTAGTAGTAGAAAGGTCATTGTTTGCAAAGCCCTCATTTGCAAGTGTGTATACAAAGCCCTCATATGCAAGAAATGTTTGAAAGCAAATCTTCTCTAGTGAAATTCTAAATCTGACAAATAGAGTAATTCCTGAATCTGGATTATCCCCTAAACAAATCTTTTGACAAATATTTTGGACAATTAAATGCAATGATTAAGATGGAGTACTCTTGTAGCCTTTGTGTTGGATCTTTAACATGTGCACTTATCCAGCAAAGGACCTTCAGCATTTATTAACGCATATGACGCATTGTTTATCGGCAAATCTGAGTATATATATTCTTCAATGACAATACTCAATCCTTAAAAGTGTGGTCAAAGTAATTTCCAACTTTTGAAGTCGCATGTCAGCAGCTCTAACACAGGGAGGGAGGGGAGGAGAGGATGAAAAGGGGAGAGTGTGTCTTTGTGTATGTGTAGCTCTGTGTGTGTGTCAGCATATGAGAGAGAGAGAGAGAGAGAGAGAGAGAGAGAGAGAGAGAGAGAGAGAGAGAGAAAGAGAGAGAGAGAGAGAGATCCAAATTGAAAACGTGGATAATAATCATCTTGGCGTCTATTTTCCTTAGTCATCCCCCATTCCATTCTACTCCTTTGTGTTCTCGTTTACTAATTCTGAGTATCTGCTTCAACACAAAATCCTCAACTAACATAGTCTATTAACTAATTACATGTTAGAATAGCAGCTCCTATGTAACAACCCAGTAGGAACTACAGTTAGGTTCTACATTCTGCCACCATCACATGCCTAAAAACCAAAATGCAACAAATCTTATCAATCCAACCTATTAGATCTTACAGACATCATATTCAAGGAACTTCAACATTAGAATAGAATTCCACCTTTTGTTATGGTCCCTCCTAACACAGAGGCAGAACCAGGATTTGAAGCTTATGAGTTCGGAATTCTAGGTCTTTTTAAGTTATTGGGTTCCAAATTAATTATTTGTACATATTCAATGGATTTCTTAAGATAAATATAGGGTTTGGACCAAAGTTACTACATTCAGCCGAACCCATAACCCAAAGGCTAGCTCCGCTCCTGTCCTAACATGTTTAGTTTAGCACACCATTGACCAAACAGACCTTCCTATAGATGTGTATGTAGCCTATAGTGTCGTCCGAAAGAAAATTAAGGCTAAGCATTTCCAGCTGCCAAATGAATACTTCAAATCTAGTACCTAGTAGATATTTCAATTAAAGGACATCAGTAAACTAAGCAAGCAACAGCTCACCCTCACTGCAGATTTTTACTTTTTATTTTTTTGTCAATAAAGACAAGGACTAAAATCTTTCTAAAAGGCTCGAAAACAAACAGTTAGCATATTAATGCTGTGCTTTTAATCAATACATATTTTGTCATTACGATATCCTTTATAAGTAGTAAGTGCAACTACTAAGTTGTCACTTACTTGGCAAGAACAATAATGACTTCTAACCATATGGGGTAAGAAATTACCTGTAATTACAACATTGGTGAGACCATTTCCATGAATGAGGCTAATATGTCTCGCTCCCAGTCTTTCTCTCCCTCTTCCATATGAAGGCAGAGCATTGATTAGTGGCCATTCCTTTAGATCCTTTTAACAAAGAGAAAAGAAATTCAGAATTTTGTGATATGAAATTATACAAGAATAGCACAGTAACTTTCACCTTCCCAAAGAAAGAAAAGAGCAGTAAAAATAAACAAGTGTTTGGACTGGAATGCCATGTGAGACAAAGTAAGACCTTGGACCCTAAAACAAAACAAAGGAAGGACTGCCCTTAGCCATCAGGGGATAAAATAATACGACTTCTTGGTATAGTAACTGGATCTAGGCCAGCGCTTGGGGATCAGATCCAAAAACAACAAACCCAGTGTAGTCCCACAAGTGGGGTCTGGGGAGGGTAGTGTGTACGCAGACCCTACCCCTATCTTTAACAAGGCAGAGAGGCTGTTTCCGGTAGATCCTCGGCTCAGGAAAGATAAAGGGAAGGGGCAATGACAAGCAAACCAATCGGAAAACCAAGCGATAAACATCTATTTAATTGATTCAAATGTGGCCAGATAATTTCTTTGTTAATCCCAATATAATTTGCTCTATAAAGAATCCAACCCCTTCTTCTGCAGTCTTAAGGTAATAGTTACATCTTTATGCCCTAAAGTTATTTTCTTCCCTGTATGTTCTTTGTCATTTTTCTCACCCCATTATAGTACTGAAATTCACCATCTTTTATCCCAATAAATTTAAAGAAAGTAGGAACAAAAAAAAAAAAAACAAAGAATGCAGGGAATATCCCTCCAACCAATTTCTGGCTGCGGATAGCAGAAAACACCAAGATTCCTCTTTCCCACACCAAAAGATAGTTAAAAGTCCACCATCAAGTAGTGGAGTAATATTTTCTACTATATGATCTATATGATAGGGATAGTAGTGATAGATGAGTAAACTAAAGATATACTGAACATATAAAAAGTAAAACTTTGAGCTATTTATTAGAGCACATCACAACATGGATGCACAGATTAAAAACAGATACCTCCCTCTGTCCCATAAACACTATTACCATTTGGGAAGTAAAACAGGTTTTTTTCTTTGATTACCATTTTCTCAAACTCTTTTCAAATATTTCGAATCATTATATGAGTAAATTCAAATATGTAAATTTTAATCTTAATTTTCTTTTTAAAGTACTCTGGAGTTTTGATCCTGGCACTCCGTAGTGAATGGGAAAAAATAAAGAGAAGATTAAGGAATATTAAAAGAGATTAGTAGAAGTAGAAGAATGACCTGAGAGCCCAAGATGACAGCGCCTTGCTCGAGGAAGAGGGTGAAATTGCTACTGAGATTGAAACTTCCCGTAAGCCACCTGCCTTTTGGAACAACCAGCTGGGACCCACCACTGTCCGTGAAACGCGCCATAAATTCCATGGCCCGTCGAAATGCCTTCGTGTTTGAGGTTTTTCCATCCCCTATCCCGCCGAAATCCCTGATCGACTTCACTACTTTCCTTGCTGGCACCTGCTTGAAGAAGTCAGAGCAGCTGCTGCTAATCTGAGGGCCGGGCCGAGAGCCCGAGATTAATCCAAAATCCAAGGGGATCAGCAAGCTGATTGAATATTCCCTGTTGATCTGTAGGAGGCTAATTAGAGCGATGACTGTGAATAGAAGCAGCACAGATGCCCATGAAGGCCTTCTTAAGTTTCCCTTGATTCTGTTGATCAATATCTGGTTTTGTCCTTCCATACTTTCTCTGCATGTAGACATAATCTATGTCTACATGCAGAGAAAAAGAGAAAAAAACTCTCCTATCACAAACAGAGAGACAGATTCCTACTAGGTTTCTTTGATTTGAGTCAACAAACTGGGCTATTCATTCATGCATGAAAAAGAGAATAAGGGGTTCGAGGGTGGTTGGGGTTTTTTCTTTGTCTTATTGATGAAATTTTAGAGTATAGTTTGGAGGATGGTGGCATTTCGCCCAAAGTGCGTAATACTATGTTCCCCTGCTTATCTCACAAAAATTTCAAGTACATGAAAAAAAAAAAAAAGAAACACTAACAAAAATTTCTTCAATCACCACTTATCTAAATAATAGTCAAAGCAATTGGTCACGAATTCCTAAATTAGTTATTGAATTGTTGCCTTCAATTCCAGTGCTATCTTCCTCACACTTTTGAATGGGATACGTAGCAAGAATGAGAGATCAATTCCACTATTCACATCCTGAACAGAAATTCAAAAGCAAAGGGTAAACTACTGATAATGTACCACAGATACTAATTAAGACAGAAAGAAAAAGCACCCGAAAATCACCACGAAAGTCACCATGAGAGCTCGAGATAATTATAATAATAAAGAACAGGAAGCAATGCATACTTAAATTTTTCACATGATGAAAAAAGATCCAAATAAAACACGAAATTCTCACAAATATTAAAAAGGAACGACAAATGCTTACACCTGCAACTACTCTTCAACATCTTGATTCCAGAAGATCATTACGAAAATGTATGAAAATCTCAAACGGCACACAAAACTCCTGACTCTGTATGATGGATGCTTCCTCTATCGATTCACATGCCTTTCAATATCGACTCCTTAACATAAATTTGAGTCTAAGAAATACCTTAAATGTAACAAATAAAGATGCAGCAACTGGAAATCAGAAAAGATGTCTCACAGGAAGTTGTATATTTGATATAAATACACTTTCAATGAAGTTTACTTCATGTAACTCACAAAAGGTGCAAATAACAGTGCAACCGTTGTTTACCTTCGAGCAGAAATAATATTTATCGGGTCATAAAGCACAACCTTTTCTCATCAGAAGAGGAAATTTAATGTTTGCTCACATATTAACTCGCTACCATACTATAAAACACAATCATAAATTAGAAATTTCAACAAATTCACCTTGCAAACCAACAAAGATTGCTCATGTATTAGCACGTTAAATTATAAAACATAAACCTAAAGCAGAAATTTGAATGAACGCACCTCTACAAATCTACAAACACGATATCACTGGTTTTTCCTTTTGTTTGGTGTAAAGGACGGCTTCCTACAGTCTAATATCTTGTAGAGCTCATTAAATACAACCTATACAAATGAAAGTGTAGCAAGATATGAAATAAAAGCAAAACATCAAAGCAAGAGAATTTCAATTGGGCACGATAAGGATACCAATTAAGCGCCATCTTTTTTAAGTGGATAAATTACAAATTAGACATCATAAAAAGGATGAAAATAAAGATAATAGATGACACGACAGACTCTCCGTAAGTTCATTTGCATAGTCCTTTTTTTTGGTAAAAGAGAATCTTATAAAAGATGGTTACCAAGGAAGTGCATGATCAAGAAACATCCTGGTAAGCAAAAAGTTAAAAGGATCTACAGATAGAGAGAAGTAACCACATCAATCAGTAAACATAAAATAGCCGAATATTCATAAGATCTTTGGACCCTGCTGTATATGGACGACTTTTTATCCAAGAAAAAGGACTCATCTAAAACTGCCAAAAAATTTCAACCGGCAGGCCAAGATTTTCTAAAACATGTTTTCCCTAAATTACCTGTCCATTCACATTCTAAGTGACGAAACAAACACAAATATAAGAACTCCATAATAACTCATAGGCTCTCTAAAAAATATTAACACTCTTGATCCCGTCACGACTTGCCTTAAAACTGCCAATCGGTCCTAATTGCTTTGGATCTCTTCATTTTGGAGAAAAGAATCAAAATAAGTGGAGTTGTATTTAAACGCTCTTGGACTAAAGCAACAAAGAAAAATTATTTTTTCTGGAATTCAACTTTCAAAGGCCCTTTTTCCTGTATTAAAAAAGAAAGGTATAGTTTTGACTTTGAAAAAGAATAACCATAGTACAATTCATGTTCTTAACAGCACTCTTGACTCTTATCACCGGGGGCGCACGCATGATTTTTCGTAAGCTGTGTCAATATTTATAGAAGAGCAGAGAATAAATAATATTAATTGCTCCCTCTGTCTCAAATTATCTGCCTTGATTTCTAAAAATAGTTGTCTCAAAGTATTTGTCATTTTAAAAGTTCAAGACTAAATTAATTATCTTTTACCTATTCTTCCCTTAATATTAATTGTTCTTGAAGACTACAAATACCTCAATTATGAGTAAATATTAAATGAAGAGATATTATATCTTAAGAGATAAATAAGGTAAAACAGTCAAAAACCGCTCCTATTTAATATTTTCTTAAGGAGCGTGTAAAAGAGAAATACGACAGATAATTTGCGACGGAGGGAGTATCACATTACCTAACAAGAAATAGCCTTATCCATTGGTTTTGTTGAGTTTTAAGTTAAAAGAGGTCGTGAGTTCAATTCTACCTATATCCAATTTTTGACAATAGAGGCTCTCTCAAATATTTGCCAAAAAAATGATCTGGTTGAGGTTCGAACCTCTTAAGAGCAAAATTAGGAACTTAACCAGTGTGCCAAGCAACAGTATATGTCAAGTGGTGTCATTTCCTTTATCTTATTATTTCCATACCATATTACTATATACATCTCGTATAATTTTCCGACGAAGCGGTGTCACGTAACACTGCTTCGTTCCACGTGCATCCGCCGCTACTTATCACGCGTTCATTACAAAATATTCTCAGAGGCAGAGGCAGAGCCAGAATTTCAACTTTTTGAGTTCTGAATTTTAGAACGACGACTTCAAGTGCTAATAGCTGGGTTCTAAATTTTATATTTGTACATATTTAATAAATTTCTTAATACAAAGTGTACCGTTTGAGCAAAAGCTAATGGGTTTCGTCGAACCATAGCCGGCTTCTAGCTCCACCCCGGTATGTGGTTACTCACAAAATAAACACAAATTCTAAAGAAGAAATAATTATAATAACACAAAAGAAAATTGACTAAATTCAGTGATAAGAAAGCAGAAACAATGAGCAAATAATCTCCATTACCTGGCGATATCGCAGAAGAAAAACCTGAACTTGGAGCAGAGCAACAACTGGAGACAAAAAAACGAAGAATCAAATTGAATTATAATCTGACAAATAGGGAGAATGCTATACTAAAAATTAACACCAACAATAATACTCCGAATTATATAATAAAGAGAAACTTACCACTTTTGAAGATCGTTATCGTTATTAAAACAAAAAATCAAAAGAGAAGAAAAGAAAGGAATTTTTTTGCAACTAATGGATGTCCGCCTGGCCCAGATTACTGATGACCTGATTTAGGATCCGAAAATGACGGAGAAAAATGAGTGAAAGAAGATGAACAAAGGAAGACAACTTTAGAGTTTTCTTTTAACACGACACATTAACGTCTTTTGTGATTGTTTTAACTGAACCAAACGACCCCTTAAAGTGACTTTTCCCTTTTTGTTCCTTTTATTTTTATTTTTTTATTTATAACGGAAGTGATGAATTATTAATAATTTTAAAATGCCAACAAAAATAAGGAAATAAATAAATAGTTTAAGAGACGTGGCACCTTACTTTTCTATTACCCATAATTATATAGATACTACGCGTTACTCTGCGCTTCATGTGGCTGTCCTTTTAGCAATAAATTTTTATGATATGAAATATTATTACAGTTAACAATATTGATATTGAAATTATAATTGAAAAGATAATATTTAAGTATTATGAAGATGAAATTAACTATTTTATATCATTTGTATTGGAAAAATTATAGCCTAACTTTTTGGTTACGATATCTATGAAAAATTGGTGTTAATAGCTGAATTAATATACACCATAAAATTCTACTTATACCATTTTTATTTATTGCAACTGTTAAATCATATTATGCCGATATATATTTGCTTGAACATTTTTGGTTCGCTCGTTTCTTGATTGGTTGCAAATCACTTGCTTGGCGCGACTTGACTTGATTTTTTGTATTTCTCTTTTGCAACTAACGTCCCTTGGAGTTCATATAGTTCTTCGTCATTTTGCTTTTTCCCGTCAACGTCTCTAAATATTCGTATTCAATTTGCAATATTCTCATGCAACAATCCCTCTAAGCCGATCCGCCTAGGGGGCGGAAGCAGAATTTTTATTAAGGGTATTCAAAAAAATAATTAAAGTAAATTCAGGAAGAAATTAAGGGAATTCTGATAAAGGGATTCAAAATCATAACAGCTTTTCATTATCCACGTGATTCCGTTAGTTTAAATTGCTTTCAGCTAGAGTCCTAGTTTTACTGAGATTCTAACTCTTGTGTAAATATTTGTTGTACTTATCTACTTAGATTTGGATTCACAAATCCACTGTATAAATATACGCAGCAAAGGCAATGGAAAATGAACACTTTCAGCAATTATTTGTGTTCCTTTATGGTATCAAGAGCATCAAAGACTCCAACGAGTAATTGATTCTGGGAACACCTCTTTTTTTTTTCTCTGTCAAACCAAACCAGCAACAATGTCCTCTTCAGATACTATTGTTGTTGCTGCTACTGGTGGCAGTGCCCCTCCACCAAATCAACTAATCACCATTAATCCTGCATCCCAACTACCTCTCAAACTCACTGGCAGTCACAATTTCTCGACATGGAAAGCTCAACTTTCCACTCTCCTTATTGGATATGATCTCATGGGTTATGTAGATGGCACGGAACTGTGTCCTCCACAGTTCCTTATTTCAACAGATGGTTCAAGCAAGCCCAACCCAGCCTACAAAATCTGGACAAGGCAAGATAGCCTTCTTCGAAACGCAATCATGGCCTCAGTGGATTGCACAATCGCACCAATGATAGCCAATGTCACCACAGCTGCACTTGCTTGGAAATGTCTTCACACTACATATGCCAACAAATCCCAGGCTCGGAATTTTTGGACTTCGTGAACAACTATCCGTGCTGCGAAGGAATTCAAAATCTATTGCTGATTTCATGGGTGAAATAAAATCCTTAGCGGATGAACTGGCAGCCACTGGATCTCCTTTAACAAGCGAAGAGTTGACGATTAAAGTCCTTAGTGGTTTAGGTCCTGAATTTAAGGAAATTTCAGTAGCCATCCGAGCCCGAGACACACCTATAAGCTTTGAAGACTATATGATAAACTACTTGGTCATGAAGTTTTCCTAAAGCATGAAGATGCCAAGAAGGACAAACTCACTATCACTGCTCAAACTCAATCAGAGAAAACTCCTCAAACAGTCGACCTCGTAGTAACAACTTCAACACCAATCGCCAAGTCCTTTCTCCACAAATGGACAGTCCAACAAATCATCTCAAACATCAGAATGGATATAATCCGCAACAATTCAACAATCAACGAGTTCAGTGTCAACTTTGAGACAAATTTGGTCATATAGCTAAAGTTTGCCGCTCAAAATCTCACTCTGCTGCTGAAATGCAAGCTAATTTTGCTGCTCGTAACAAACATGTCAAATAGCCGGTGGGTGATGACTCAGGAGCATCACACCACATGACAAATGATCCACAAAACCTCATGTCTGCATCAGATTTCACTGGCACGGACGAGATCATCATTTGTGACGGTTATGATATTCCTATTTCACATATAGGAAACACCACTCTCTCAAATTCTAATTTTAATTCATTTATGCTTAATAATGTCCTGTGTGCACCTCACATAAGAAAAAATCTTATTTCAGTAGCCAAGTTTTGTAGACAAAATAATTCTTCCATTGAATTTCTTTCCATATTCTTTTGTCGTGAAGGATCTGAGAACGGGGCATCCCTTTTCGAGGCCAGAATAATGGGGATCTGTACGAATGGCCATCAATTGATCGTGTCGCCAAGCAGTCCCACACTTCAACTCAGTTTGCAATGTCAACTAGTCATCCACCACTACATTTATGGCATGCTCGTTTTGGTCATCCTCAACCTCGCGTCACAAAGTCAATGGTCTCGTTATTGAACCTTCCGGTGTCTACATCCAAGTCTTTTACTTTTTGTGATTCTTGCTTATGTAATAAGAGTCATCGTCTCTCATTTGGAATAAATACTTTACAAAGTGTTAGACCTCTTGACATTCTGTATTCAGATGTGTGGGGACCCTCTCCTATTCCTTCCTTTGATAAGTCTCGCTACTATATTGTTTTTGTCGACCACTTTACGAAGTATTCTTGGCTTTTCACAATTAAACAAAAATCTGATATCATGTCCGTCTTTGATAACTTTAAAAATCAAGTTGAAAAATACTTTAATACATCAATTCGTTCTGTCTATAGTGATGGTGGTGGCGAATACATTGGCCTACGTCTTTACTTAGTCGCCTGGGCATTCAACATTTCACCAGCCACCGTACACTCCCCAACATGTTGGGACGGCTGAACGAAAACATCGTCATATCATAGAGACGGCTCTTACTCTGCATACACCATGCATCCGTTCCACTTCATTTTTGGTCACTAGCATGTCAAGCAGCCATATACTTAATCAATCGCATGCCTACACCGATTCTCAAAAATAAATTACCTTATCAAACATTATTTAACATTGCTCCCAACTACTCGAAACTCCGGGTCTTCGGTTGTTTATGCTAACCATGGTTTAGGCCATGCACAAGCCACAAGTTAGACAATAAATCAAAACCATGTGTATTTATGGGGTATGAAAAAATGTCAAGCAGTTACATTTGCTACGACCCTCAAAATCAGAAATTTTACTCTTTCTCGCCATGTCATTTTTGAGAGTCGGTATTACCCCTTCAAAAACTATCAAACTACTCTACCTCGTGTCAATCCTACACAAATAGGTCCATGGGTAATTCATCCTGTTGAATCTTACTTCAACCTACTAAGAGAAGGTCAAACTTCTTCCAAAGCTCTTCTATCTGATGAGATACAAATGGCGCCAATGAACAGAGATTCCCATTACTCTGCCTTGATCAGTGATGAGCCTTCTGTATCACCATCACAGGTAACTACTTCACCTTTCTCTTCTTCTCTACCTGTTTCCCTCCCTGCACAACCGAATCCAACACTTACTGTTAACACGACTGGAAACTACACCTGCCCATCTCATCCTCAAGACTCAACTCATCCCCAAACAACTTCTTCTGAAATAACCACAACTCCACCAATGTCAATTAACCAGTCTAACCGGTCTGCTTTATCACCCAACAAAAATCGACCAGTAACACGGTCAATGAACAATATTTTCAAACCAAAAGAGGTCTTTGATTATTTAGTCACAACTGGATCATCTCCTCTTCCATTAGCTCCTAGTTCATATCGCCAAGCTTGCCAACATCCTCACTGGCGTTGGCAAAAGAACTTTTAACTTTATGCGCATAATGTAATTTTTTAGCGAAATGGTTCAGATCTACTCCGCCCACGGCTCTAGCTCCATTCAAATGCTTATTTTTCATCGAGATTCTCATTGAATTCAATGATCTTGCGCCGAGGCGGATGCACATGGTAATAAGCGGAGTCATCTGATATCGCTTCGCCTGAAAAAAAAGATTAAATGTCTATACTAATATTCTATGAAAATAAAAGCAATATATAATTAATAACACCGCTTCCTTACAAAGACAGCGTTTTGGTCCATTGGTCCAACTCATATTTTAGCTTGTAAAGGTCGTCGGTTCAAGGATGGGCTTGGATATTTTGTTTATCGAACTAAGGAGAATTGAGCATACACTTTTCTTTGTAATAATATTCAACCAAATTATTAGGCCAAGATTGTTCAACTTGTGGTAAAATAATATTAAATATTATTTTGTAAACACGACATGAAAAATTCTGCGTACGCCCCTGATCGAAGAATTTCTTTCTCCAACTAACATAAAATATACTGGACTTATTGAGTATCACATGCTCGAACTTTATTCTTATTGTCTAACTTTAAATATCACATGATATCACATGCCCATGCTGCAAACTTTCACTTGTCAATACCATAATAGTATATAATTTTTTAGTCTCTTCCTCACATTCATTAGTCGTCGTATAAACGCCCCTTGCTTCAGCTTCCCTTCGACAATGACTCGTCCGACAACTCTGTTAAGTATGTATTTTTGTGTTATATGCATCGATTTGGATTGTAATTTATAAGCTCTTTCTTTTCCCATTATAAAACCATTAAAACCCTTTTTAGGATTTCCACTGCTTCAAATCAAAACAAACAAACGACAACTACGTACTGAAGAATATATGATAAAAAGCAACATTTTACATAAGAGGAGAACTTGTGGAATTGTTCTTTGAAATGGTCAAAGAGAAAGTGTGTTGGTAGATAAATTAAGTACTGGTTGAATTTAACTTCATACATTAATGGGGAACATAACCTTCATCTGCAACTTGAACTTTAGGAACATGTTTGGAAAGCCACTAAGAAATTAAATTTGAATGTAATT